CCCCTCAGGTGTTCAACTTCAGAGCTCGCAAAGATGAGAAGCATTACACACACGTGACAGCTGAGGAGCTGTGAGGAAACCATGCACGCAAAGACGTTGGATGTCCCCAACACAACACACTCTTAGAGGAACTTATTTCTGAAGAATGATTTATTTCCTTAGGATAAAATTTTCCCAGATTGAGGACTCAACGGGTCTTGTCTCTTGACGAGTGGTAAATCGGCATTCCCGGAAATGACCATGTCCTCCACTCGGGCCGTCCCAACGCTGACCATCCTGCCCCCGTCCTCCGACACGGAGTCCTGGTCCCGATCGCCCAGCCCCCGGCCGTATCGCTCCGGCCGCCATCCGCGCTCCTACCGAGTCCGCAGCCGAACCAAGAAGCGGAGCGCAGATAAGCGGTCCGGAACCCCGCAGATCGTAATTGAGGAGGAAATGGCCCCTGCGCCCTCTGCCTTAGAGGCCCCTCGGATAAGAAGTGAGGAGCAGGACCGTGACCTCCTTTTGCCGCCTTCCCAATCTTGGTCGCGTAGCCCCTCTCCTAGCCGCCGCTCTCGGTGGTCCCTCCGGAGCCTGCTGGGCAGGGATTCTGACTGGGACAGCTGCAGGTTAGTGTGCCGGTGACGGACTCTTGCAACAGTCCGCAGCTCGTAACTACAAGGAGGTGATAGGCAGATCAGCCCAAGAAGGTCTACTTTAGACGAGTGGTTCTCTCAATTTTTATTTCAGGTATATATAGTTATGGACGACAACTTCCTGCTGCTCCAACCTGCCTTTGTTTCTCATTTCACTGAAGCATCGGGATTGAATCTGAGCTTAGTGACAATAATCACACCATTAGTGCATTTGAGGCGGCTTTCAATATCAGCCTAATTTTGCTGATATCGGACCATTACATGTGACTTTGACGATCGGGCCAGTAATTTTCAGATAGTTATCGTGCGTTCCTAACGTACACATGTTCAACTATTGAAGGTTCGAGTACAGTGGTACCTCTACTTACGAACGTCTCTTCATACGAAATATTCAAGTTACGAAAACAGGAAGCAGGAAAATATTGCCTCTTGTTACGAAAGAAATTTCAAGATGTGAAGGGTAAAAATACAGTACGGTCTGCTACTCGCAGCTCCGAGTTTCCTGAACGCAACATACTTATAGCGGCTCTGCCATTGGCTACTATCGAGCATCATCGTGGCATCCCATTGGCTAAGAGGGACCTCTACAGTTTGCGTCAATGTCGAAAGATAGATAAATAGATAGGTATGTGTCTATGCAGCATCCTCGTCATTCGCCCCTCCGGCCATGAGGCCTTCCGATAGGTTTACGTAAATGTGAATCACCCAGAAAAAGTGTTCACCAGTCGGGCGGTCGCTCACTATGCTGATGTTTGCCTTGGACATTTTTGAAGGATTGTTCAATAAAATTTATTATTATTATTATTATTATTATAAAAGCTGACAAACGCAAACGTCCTTGGATCAGTTCTTTTCAAAATCCAGGCAAAAACCACTTCTGAGAGAGAACATGAACTAAAGAGGGCAAAAAACGAGGAGGACGCAATTCAAAGTTAAATGACCCATCATTTTTATTCTTCATTTTTTACTTTATAGAGAACTCTCATTAATTGTGCAATAATCTAATTGTAACATGTATTTGTTTCATATTCTGATGCATTTTTATGCTTTATAAAACATTGATGTCTGAATTTTGGGGCGCTTGCAACGGATTAGGGCATTTACATGGAAAACACGTCTCTCCTTATAAAATTTTCTAGAAATTTCTTCCAGAACCAATTAATTTCATAAGTAGAGGTACCACATTGTATTTGTGCAATATTTGTCGCGGAGGGCAAATTTTTGGGTGCTTTCTCGTATTGCGTTTCTGTTTTATTAAGATTGATTTCATTTCCATTTATTTGGAGGGAGGTTTCTTGAGTGTGCTTTTGTCGTACAGTGCATAAGGTCCGCCAGCTGGAAACCGAAGGTCTACACGGTCAGCACTCCTGCTGCTCTGTGGGGATTCTGTGTCTTACCTCAGCTGAGTTCCCATATGGAGGACTGGAAAAGCAAACATGACGGTGTTGCTAATAGCTACCAAGCGTGCCTCATGATTTATGAATGTCCTGTTCAAACTATAGTCAACAACAACAACACGTTGATTGACTGTCAGCTCACTGAGTCGTTACAACAAGCTGGGAGGTGGGGCTCGAACACTCCACGCGCACCCTGAATCATGACATCACCCTCGGCCAATGGGAGCATGCCTATCGACTGATGATGTCACGCTGGCCCAATCAGAGGAAGCTCTGTATGGTGAGGGTGATCCCCCAACCTCCCGATCCACCTCCTCTCCGTGTCTTTAGTGCATCCACTTTATTTAGTCCATACATTCTGAAGTCATGGAGTATGTATCGGCCTATATCGAGGATGTCCACACTTTTTCCACGTACAGGAAAATGGGAGAGGAGGGCCACATCATCTTGTGCTTGTTGAAACCTGCAAAAACCAACCCAATAGACTAAAGGTCATCATATAATAGAAAATTAAGATAGGGTTTATTTTTTTTTATTTAAAACAATGGGACATCTTTGATTTTTTTTTTTGTAAGCTTCTTAGAAGAGTTTTTTTTATAGCCATGGCAACATATGACGGGCCTATAAAAAAAAAAAGCCAGTGTATATTTGTTCAGACAGAGTAGATGTTGAGAAGTCTTTTTTTTTTCTCCCTTCATCAACCCCAGAGGAAGCCGACGACGCTACCTTGACCAAAACCGCACATGATATCGCCTCTTCCATGTTGCAGCCAAATTCTCTATTGGGTGAATTACAATAAAAATAGACAATCGGTCACTCTCAGTACCGAGTGATCGTCACTCTCTTTGTCACAATCTGAAAATAAAAATGCGTGCCTGTTCTCAGGAAGGAAGAGGCGCTCATCGTTTCCTGTCAGTTGGACGCAACTCTCGCGGTGCTAAAGCAGATTACACACAGATAGACTGAGGCTGCTGGATTATGATACGCGCTCTAATCCAGCGGGATAGACACAGATTGAGGGTGAAGTGATGCCGTCGCGCTCACTGAGTTGAAAAGATGTCGGAGAGGAATACAGTTGTCGGCCCACTTACTTCACATCGCAGTAAATTGTGACTGACAATTTGTCTTTGTTTAATAGGTGACACACTGAAAAAGACAAACTACGGATTAAAGTAAAATTATGTGAAGAGAGCCATTTAAGAACATGGTGACATTTTAGCAGAACAACATAACAAGAAACCATAAATATGATCTGAAAAACTTTGCTTCTTTTAGTTTAGTTGAGCAGAGCGTGATGTTTTTTTTTTTTTTTTGGGTGGTTACCGTTTATTGTTTTAAGGAGACGCTACCATATGATACATCTCAAGTCACACTGTATCAAGGCAATATTTTGCCTCGATAAATAAATAAATCGTGACTTTTTCTTTGCCATTTTATGAAAAAAAAATGGTACTATGCTTTGACTTAGTAACCTCTTGAAGTGATGTGTGTTGCTGTCATGTCCACTCTGTCGAGTCTAGACAAAAATATTGGGACACCTTCCAATTCCCCCTTTCGAAAAGTCACTTGATGAGATCAGAGATGTGTCCCAAAACTCGAATGAGCTGCGTCCTTAATCAAAATTCAAGATGAAATGGACATATTTATTTTCTGAAAAGCTTCCGTTCAGCTCCTTCTAGTGGCCTCTTATCTGTGGCCCCCCAGTTACCAAAATGTTTATCAGAGCCCCCCCTCCCTCCGGGCCATAAAGCCGCACCTCCTCCCCCTGCCTCGCCTCCCCCATCTGTGCGCTGAGGGGATTACGGATGGACGGCAGCCCGTCGGCGGCTCATCCTGCGCAGGCAGCCGTCGTCTGTCCGCGAAGGGCGTCGACGACGGCGATGGTGGGATACTAGCATCCCTCGCCTCCTCGTCGAAGGTTCGCTCCAGCCTGGCTACACCGACGAGAAGTGCGGTGTTCGTTTGTTTTCATTCGGACCCCCGCTTGTGACCGCGAACGCCTCATGACATGTTCGAGTAAGTCATTCGACGGCGGCTGATATTAGGGGCGTTCCAAATTGCCGTTTTTTTTTCCGGATGAGCGTGCACTTAAGATAAAAACGAACATTTTGCCTGAATTTCAAGCCATTCTTGTTGTCTTATTCGGAGAGAACGCGAGCGGTGTGTTCAAGTGAATCCCGGTCGCTCAGCGGTCATCCGGTCACCGTCTCCCCCACCCTCCCCTCGCTCCCTCGTCGCCGGGCACTGCAACCTTCGTCCACCCACAAGCGGTCGTTTCTCACCGTTAAACGAGCCCATCAAACCCCCCCCCCCCCCCCCCCTCCCGTGTCACTGTGCCTCCTTCTCGGGTGTTTTTGTTGGCTTCTCCGATCCCAGTGTCCTAAAGGGATTGATGCTAATTTAGCCACGTTGCTAACTCGCTATCCCACCCTCGCTACCCGAATGAATCAGTTAACACCACAGAGGTGATATAAATTATTATTATTAGTGTTATTACTAGAAATAAAGATTAAATTGTGCGGTGGTTGTCGTAGTTCCGTGTCACTGGAGACTGGACCAGGTTGTAAACAAAGGCTCACATGGATTCTCATCAATAAATCCCTTTAATAGGCTAATGTTACGGAACGTGGTAGGATTCCGTCATTTTTAAGTGTTGTTAACATGCGACTCTAGTGAGGATAATCGTTTCAGATAATGGAGCGAGGCAAGAAGAGAACCAATCATGCGGCGATAGACAATATTAAATGATTTTTTAAAAATTCATGACATTTGTCATGGCTTGAGTCCAAATTAGCAGCATTATTGCCTTGGATCTCAGGCTATTGAGTTGTGCCTAATATTGAGTCCGATGAATGTTTGGTATTGACATGTTAAAACTGACCTACAGTGCACGCAGCAATTTTTGACTTGGATCTCAGCCTACTTAGTTGTGCCTAATATTAGGTCAGATGAATGTTTATTCTTGGCATGTTAAAGTATCCGACCTACACCGCATGTTGAATGTTGATGCCGTAGTTGCTCAAATGTTAACTTTTTGTTTTTGCGCAGTGCAAGTGTTAATGGCAGTGCGGTGGTTGAGTCCTCAGGCTCACCGTTCTGAGGTTTAAGTTGCAAATCTCTTGTGTCGTTATTTACATGCAATTTGGGTGTCTGCACATGCAGGTTGTTTATTGTATTCTGTCAATGTAAACTCAGTCAAATTGTATATCATGTAATTCAAATTGTACTAACAAATAGATGGTCACCAAAAAAAAAACGAAACAAATAAAAATAGTGGATTAAAATAAAATAAAACTCAAAACTTTTTCCCACTATAACAGTAATGTGACCCATCACGTGTACAAGCCAATTTTTAAAAAATCTTTGCATGAGGGGAAATTGCCACAAGTGTCCACAGCCTTTCAGAGCTCGGATCTGCTGTGTTCTCAATTAACCAGTCACATCCAGACATGAATTGAGTGAGAGTCTGTGCACACCTGTCACATTTTAAGTGCCTCTGATTAATACCAAATAAAGCTCAGATATTCATTTAAGCTTTTCCTAATTTTGTACTAACACTGACTGGGATTTGGAAGTTCACAATTTGCTCTACTTTGTCTAAAGTCCCAGTTGCAGCAAAAGAAAAATATCACCAAAGTGTAACGCTGCCACCACCATGCTCCAATTTGGCTACGCTGTTCTTTTGTGTTTGCGCCAAACATTCATAATGGAATTGTGGCAAAAAAAAAAAGTTTAACTTAGATTGACTGTTAATATTTGAGCTGATTTATGCTCAGTGTTTTGTATAGACCCCAAATGTGAAGAAATATTTGTGCCTTCCCAAATGAAAGCAGCATTGGCCACCTTATCAGTCAAAATGGGTTCAAGCTGATAACCCCCCCCCTCCCCCCCTTCGTGGCCTTCCCTTTGCTTTCAGTTCACCGCAACATGGCTATTGTCAAACAGGAAGCCCCCCTCGACGCCTTTTTGTCGTCTGCTCTTTGCTGCCTTATGAAAAATTCACATTTAGTTTCTTTGCTTCTTTTCTCTTTGCAGCACGGCCAGTAACTCTCCACGCAGCACTCCAGGCAGCTCCCCCTCCCTGCGGCGGCGGGTGCTTGGGGGCGGCCGAGCCAGCGAAAGCGAGGCAGCGGGGGAGAAAAGCAGTGGAGGAGGAGGAGGCGGGGGCTCAGACAGCCCCCTGCCGTCCATACCGTCGGCATCATCGCTTACCTCGGCCTACCCGATTGCCTCCCGACATTTCAAGAGCAATGCCAAGGTCACGCTCCATGTTGTTGTTGTATTTGAACATGATGACTCAATGGAGGTCATGGTAGCACAAACATGTTGGCAAGTTAAATAAAAATCACAATCTTCTGAAATATTACACATTATGATTGTTCATTAGATTCCCCCCCCCCCCCCCCATCCCTCCATTTTGTAATAGTTGTGTTTGATGTCTTTGCAGAAAATGCAGAGCTGGTACAATGTGAGTATCTCTTTGGCTTCTTTTTTTGGGGGGTGTCTTCATTTCGACCTGAGGTTATTGGTACCAACCATAGTTCTGGTGTTCCTCTCCCTCAGGTCCTCAGCCCCACGTATAAGCAGCGGAATGAGGACTTCCGTAAGATCTTCAAGAAGCTTCCGGATACGGAACGGCTCATAGTGGGTGAGTACAAAGGAATGAAACGTCCCTAACTCGAGAGGTTTTTGGCTTTGCGTTTGGTCATGCTGAACTCCTCGACCCTTTTCCTGCAGATTACTCGTGCGCTCTGCAGAAAGATATCTTGCTCCAGGGACGCCTGTATCTGTCTGAAAACTGGCTGTGTTTCTACAGCAACATCTTCCGCTGGGAAACCACTGTAAGCATCAGCTTCGAGTTATTTGCAGATCAGTGCTGATAAAGTAAAAAAAAAAAACACTACCGGAGTTAAAAAAAAAAGTAAATTATCCATTTCCTCGTACAGGCAGGATTATTTAAGACCATAGAAATGTGCTTTTTTTTCTAGGTCAGTGGATAATGCTTACATTATGACACAAGCGAAAAATATGTGGAAGAAATTGCTATTTTCTTGTGTACATTGGTTAGTAGGCTTCGGGTTCATGGAGGATGATTTAAGACCACTAGAATGTTTGATTATTTCTTTAAATCCCGGGCCAGAAGCCAATGCCTTTACTGGATTTCTGATGGTAAATTGGAAGATATCTGACACTAATTGCCATTTTTTTGTGTATATTGGCTAGTAGGCTAGTTGCTGTTTCATGGAGGATGATTCAAAATCATAAGAATGAACTATTTTTGTCAAACAAGGGGAATGACTAATGGTGTCAGTTTGTAAAAAAAAAAAATGAAAAAAAAAGTCCACATAACTGACGATATTTTAAGTTAGTAGGCTACTTCCTGCTTCGCTGTGGATAACGTATGATTGAAAGATTGTAACATTTCTGAGCGCTGGTCATGGAGCTAACGCGGCAACCAGAGTTAATAATTTGTTTGCGTTTGTATCTTGGATAGCAGGCTACTTCTGAGTTCACATTGGTGGATGGTCGACATTTTTATTCTGGGGTTCGAGGAAGGCTTCTTTGCAACTCACGAGAAGATGAAAATTACTTATTTGCCTGCTTTCCCTTCCAGGCCCTTTTTTTAAAAAATTTTTTTTTTTAAACTGAGACTTTTCCATGGGGCAAAATGGAAAATAAGTCAACTGTACAGCGTGTTTTATACAAATGGCTGCATTTTTGCGTGTCTGCAGATCACTATCCTGCTGAAAGACGTGACCTCAATGACCAAGGAGAAGACCGCCAAGCTCATTCCAAACGCCATCCAGATCAGCACAGACAATGAGAAGGTCAGCCATTACTCACACACGCTTATTTTATAATGTGTAGTCTAAAAAAAACAAGCTGAGTCGGCTCCACAAGACAGCCAAGCGACCTTTTCATCCTTCCTTTCCTTCCCATTGAAATTCTCAGCACTTCTTCACCTCATTTGGGGCACGGGATCGCAGCTTTATGATGATTTTCCGCCTGTGGCAGAACGCGCTGATGGACAAGGTACCACCCCCTGACAGCAGCTCACAGTCCCTTTAATAACTTGATCAAAATGGCCCGATTATGTGAAATGTAATATTTTCTGTCTAAATGCTTGCAGTCGTTGTCCCCCAAAGAATTGTGGCACATCGTGCACCAGTGTTACGGCACCGAGCTGGGCCTCACCAGTGAGGACGACGACTACGTCTCCCCGACCGCTGAACACATGAACGGCCTGCTGTGAGTGACTTAGTAACTAAGTAAATGTTATCTTCTAATTAAAATGTATTTTAGCTCCCGTGTCAAATTATGCAGCAAAAAATATGCACACACACACACACACACACACACACACACACACACACACACACACGCACTCTGCAGGATTATTCAGTGAATCACCTTGTTCTATCATTGTCCCAGGCCTGGAGAAGAGTCCGTGTCCGTCACTGATCTTCTGGACCTGAGCTCTGTCTCGCTTCCATCCTCGGGCAGCTCCCCTCCTCCGCTGGTGCCCTGCAGTCAGGCCAGCCCCCCGTCGGCGACCAGCGCCGCCGTGGGCTCGTCCCCTCCCTCCACCGCCTGCTGCTTACCCATTGAGGTGCCCTCCTTGTCGGGTAGGCGGCTCAGCTCGGATCCCCCTGAGCCAAGCCCGCCCAACTCTCACGGCTCGGTCGCATCCACCGCACCCACAAATGTCTCTGTGAGTGTTTTTTTTTTTTTTTTTTGGGACAGTCATTTAGGTAGAAACACATTACTTAGTTGGAGAAATGAGTGCCTCCCTTACTCCAGCTTGGTCCAAGGAATAGTAAGCATGGAGAATGTGGCTCTACAGTCCCCACCATAAACTGTTTACCAATGCCAGATGGGATCCATTGTGGTCACACATGTATATTTCCGTTTGGTTTCCACTGGAAGCGGTTCAACTTGGTTCTGGATTTCAGCGCATTGTGTCGCTCCTTTGGTGAACAGCTCTGATCTCAATTTGGAGACAGACGAACATCGCCTCATGGCCACTTCAGGGTTCCCACGGGTCCTGAAAGTTAATAAAAATCAGTAAAAAAAAAAAAGAAGCTGTAAAATTATGTTCTTAATTGTCCTTAATGTTCAGGGAAAGCTTTTTATTAGAAAATACATTGAAGTTTTATATTTTCTAAATTTAAAATGTTCTTACTGTACTTTATTTGAGAATTAAGTGAACTTTATTTGAGAATTAATTCTCTAATACAGGTAGGAAAATGAAATTTTGACATACAGTATGTCAAATAAATGGTTAGCTGATTGCCCCTAAAAATAAAGATGTGCCCTTGAACAACAGCTCAGTGATATCTGGCTCTCTGTTCAGCCCGCATATAGTTGAGCGGGCATTAAATCCAACGTGAATCCCCTGCTGAATGGAGAAAAAGTCCTTAAAAATGGCTAAATTAGCCCTCAAAAGTCCTTAAACGGTCCATAAATAAAAAGCAAGCGGAAGAGTGGGAAACTTGCATAGCAGTATTCTGTGATGGTGGTTCATTTGAAATGTAATGTTTACTATAATGTATAAGTGAAGTTATACAAGAGCAAGGACAATGTGTTCTGGAGTTTGCCTGGAAGTGTCTGCTGTGCTTTTGATTACACGCACAATTCACTCACGCTCAGTGCCAACTCGTTGTGAATGGGCTTCATTTCCTCTTCAAAGTCATATGAGAATGGCCTGATTCCCTTCCCCTCAGAACCCAGAGGAGGGCGGGGACAGCCTCTCCGAGTCAGCCAATCACATGCTGCCCCTTCCCAACACCAGCCTTGGAACCCTCTCCTCATTGGACGCCACCAACGATGAGGACCTGCCCACCGACCCAAGCAACTCATCCGACACACAGGAGGAGAGTGAGTGCTGTGGCTCCTTTTAAGCTCGCTGTGTCGGCAACATTTTGGTTTCCATTTGCGCCACAACAATTGTAAACGTTGTTCAATGTCGATGTCTCTCCTCCCAACCTGCAGGTGAGGTGGAGTCGTTCTGCGCCGATCTAAACGGGCGGCTGCACGTCAACGCCGCCGTACGAATGAGCGTGGACAAGCTGCACGACCTGCTCTTCTCTGCCGACACACATTTCATCCAGCACCTTTTCTCACAGCGACATTTCACTGGTACACACACACAAACACACATAGTTTTCAATGAAGCCACATTGTAACTGCAGAAGCACAGTTCATAACTTGTTGGAATAAATATGTAAATTTTCTTTTCAATTAAGTTGAATTTCTCAATAAAGTCATTTATGAGATTTTTTTTTTTCAAGAAAAAACGTTTTAATGTGTATAAAGCGAAAGAGAGTAATAATTTTTGGAGGGAAAAAATGCAACTGTACTCAATCAAGTTGTGAAAATGAAAGTTGTAATTGGCCAAGGGCAGCTGTAATTTTCACAATCTTTTACGAGAAGAATGTCTTTTTTTGTTGGAGTGGTACAGAGAAATTGATGGTAATGTTATAACTGCAAAACCAAAAAAGTCATAATTTTACAAAAATAAATTTTACATTTTTGAGGATCGTTCTGTACTAACATTTTTTGAGTGATCATTTTGTTGAGATAAAAGAACAAAAATGTGAATTTTTGAGGACTTTTTCTTTTTACGTTGCAATTGTATGAGAGTAGTGGTCATTTTACAACAAAGTTCTGCTTTTTTGAGGAGGGAGAAAAAGTGGTCAAGAAAAAAGTCAGATTTTTATGAGAATTGGTGGATACATGCATATCATGCCATTTTAGCCTCCCTCCATTGTCACTTGTTGAGCGTTCTTTCATTCCTTTCTAAAGAGGACAGCATGAGTGAATTTGGCCAGGGGGCATCATCCCCGCTGCTGAGGAACATTGTGTCACGTTAATTGGGGGCGGAGGGGGGGGGGCGTTCCTTTGTAGAGACTGACCCGACTCCCCCTTTTTCACCCAGCATTCCATGCTCATCTGGAAGCCCTCCTGTTTTTTATTCGGAAACTTCCTATGATGATTGATTTTTTTCTTTTGTGTAATTCCATTACTTGTACGTCGTCTCGCAGACCTGACGGTGGGCGAGTGGCAGCGGGACGGCAGCAGTGGGACCACCAGCCGCGTGCTCAGCTACACCATTGCTCTCAACAATCCCCTCGGGCCCAAGACTGCCCCCGTGGTAGAGACGCAGGTAAGAACTCGATTAGACTGATCATCACAGCGAAGGTAAAAGTTTCTTCTCAGCTCCCGTGTGTGACCTTTATCCTTCAGTAAAGGAACGATAATTTTACTCTAAAATGACAACTGTGATACTAGCGTGTAATAGGGATTATACTATTGCTTGAGTTGCCATGGTGACCCTGAAGAAATGCTCAACACAATATCTTCCCGAGTCTAGACTCTGCACAAGAACAGCGCTCAGGGCGAGTGCTACGTGGTGGACTCGGAGGTGATCACGTCGGGTATCCCGTATCAAGACTACTTCTATACGGTGCATAGATACTGCCTCACCTCCATCAATAAGAACAAGAGCCGCCTCAGGTGACTTTGTCTTTTTTCTTTTTTTTTTTAAATCTGAGTCATGAATACAGATAGCAGGCAGATGTATCTGGTCGATACCGGTCTTATTTTGAGGTATCAGGCACTCGTGGCGCCTGCCGATACCTAAAGCAAAAAAAAAAAATCAGATTTCAGCAGTATTTGGCACTGCACTGGTGAATATTTCATCCGTGTCAGAAAGAAAGGTCTTTGTTTATATTTTGTTGTCATTGTGTTCAATGAAATGTTATATAGCGAAATTATCTGGGTACTGCGAGGACGACTCGGACTGGTATTTGTCTGGGGGGGGAAAATGTAGGATTGAACTTCCCTAATTAGGACCAAAAGTCTGTTTTTAAAGGGGCGTTGAAAGGATTTTTTTTTTACAATGAAAGTCATAAGAGGAAAAAGTAATTTGTATGAGACTCGTCTTTTTTTTTAACTGAAAATATAATTCTGAGGATGTTAACATTTCCTTAAAAACTTTGTAAAAATTCTAATTTTCCACTCACTTTTTAAGTCGCATTCACACAAGACTATCTGTATTATTTTTTTTTAATAAGGTTGCAGTTTCACAACAATAAGCAGTTTTATTTTTTCAAGACAATTTATATATATATTTTTTAATCAAAAGTCACGTTTTTTTTTTTTTTTTTTTTTAGGAAATATATTTAAAATTGTAATCATACAAAATAAAAGTCACAATTTTCCTACAAATCATAACGATTCATAATTAAAGTACCACACAGCACCCTTGTGAAAGTTCTGCTGCTCTTGCTCCAGAGTTTCATCCGACATCTGCTACCGGAAGCAGCCGTGGAGTCTGGTCAAAGCTTTGATTGAGAAGAACACGTGGAGCGGGATCGAGGAGTACTACCGCCACATGGGTCAGTCACCTTGTCTGTCTTCTCGGGGTTAAAATGGCCTTATGCGTACCATCACCAACAATCATTTCCATACAAACAAAACGTTCTGCTCCTCGGCAGAGAGCGAGGTGTGCAAGCTGGAGACGCTTCTTCAGTCTGAGGTGACCGTGGTGACGGCCAGGGACGCCAGCAGCGCCGCAGAGGCTGCCAAGACGCCGCCGGCCCTCCGGCGACGCAAGCGCACCTGCTCACGCCGTCAGGGGGACCGGGATGGTGGGGCCGCCGCCGAGCGAGGGGATAGGGGTGTCGGTGAGGAGCGAGAGCGCAGGGACGCCGGTTAGTGTACCGCTCTGACAATTCATTATTTTTACAGTAGGTTTTTTTTTTTTTTTTTTTGAAGTATCACTTTTTTTTTTTTTGTAGGTGCTCAGTATATGAAGTTGGGAGAGCGCGCACGTGGCGCGGCACAAAACAGCGTCTCCACTATCCTCCTCATCGTCAGCTTCATGTAAGTAGCAACACAATCATTTGATTCCATCCAAGTGCTGAAATGACGAATGAAGTAACGGACGTCACATGACCAAACTCACAAAACATGTTGATTGGTCATCACCTGAGCCCTGAGCAACTATGATGTCATTTTCAGTCAACAGCAAGTAACAAAATGGCCGCCCTCTGAGATGGATAAAAACGGGTGGATTTTTCATCTTAATTCATATTCCACAAATGCAGTATTAATCAGAATGCCGTGTTTAGACATCGAACTTGTTGCCACAAAGGATTTTTTTTTTTTTAACTTGACTTCCGCTTTAACATCCCTTCTAGCTAAAGTTGTACTCGTCAGTGCTTTTTGATTGAGTAGCACACTGATTGGTGCTCGTTTCACATTTCAAAGAGATTCATATTTGTCTGCACTGCATCATCTTTTTATCTCATATCATGGGGTGTTCATGCTCAGCTTCTTATTTTATCAAACTATAAATATTGATAATTGATCCCACACCATCTATTCCTACGCACACATACACACAAACATCTCCCGCTCCAATTTTTATTTAAAAAATGTAACTTAATTAATTTTATTAATTTAAAAATTATAAAATATTTAATGTATCGGTACAGACTCTGTAATAGTATTTTTTTTAATGTAATAAATCTTTTTTTTTTCTTTTTTCTTTTTTAACCAAAATAAAATAAGCGATTTTTTTTAAAAAGTAATCTAATCTCGGGAAAAAAGTAAACGCTTCTGTAATGTTGAACTCCTATTTTTTCACCTAATAAGAACATTTTAACACAAACTAACGACCACACAACATAACACAGAACAGCCATATTTGAAGCAGTTATAGATAAATACAAAGAACGTTTTTGGCTCTTGTGCATACTAACACCTTCACGGTGCCTTTTCTCGGCATCTTCTCTTTTTGTGTTTCCTTGTGCGCCACTTTGTACCCGTGTGTAGGATCTGTATCAGGTATGGTATCAAAGGCTTTTACTTCCTCTGCAATTGCAAAGCCACACTTTTGTTTTTACAGGAAACATCTGACTTGAACTGATTGGGCTCAAACTCCATTCAAGCGCAAACATATTGATGTTTCCTGTAATGAAGTCCCACTTGTGACGTGAGCGCACAGTGTTTGTGAGCCTCTTTCATGTGCTTGTCATTGTCGCTTATCATGCACACATAAAAAAAAAAAATCAGTTTCCACCAAGCACACACAGTGTTTTTTTTTTTTTTTTTTTTTAAGTTTCCTCAATAGTGGCCGATGGCAATTATTTACAGTCTATATTTTATGTTTTGGTTTTTTCAATTTTTTTCTTATTTTATATGGTTTTAAACCTAGTAATTGAACTATAAAACAATTTAGCGTATTCATATTTCAGCATTCGCAAACTTATTCACCCATTCACAGATTTTTTTTTTTTTTTTTTTTTTTTTTTCCCAGAACCTATTTTCCGTTATTTGGTGATCAAATCAACTGCAACTTCAGTTCACATGTGGCTGTTTTGATTTTGGTACGGCAAATAAATTAGAACATGTTTCCACGTACGCCTTGCAATGAGCATAAATACTAGTCATCACTGTTTGGCGTATTCAGTGACTTTTTTTCCTTTTTGTTTTGAAATGTCGTACTTTGTGAGCGGTCACTGAATGCACCTCAAATAATGAGTACAGTGTAGGCACGGTTTTAGTGAATGTGGTGTCTTGCTTCTCAGGTCGAAAAATATCCACAATAATAACCCATATTTAATAAAAAATTAGATTCCCATTGTGCCAAAGTCAATATCTAATCAAATAAAATGTATATGTGTATAATTAACTCGAAAACACTATGCAGACTTTGGCATCATTGCGGGGGAGGAGCTTCATTGTTCTAAAGATGCTTTGTCGCCATCTTGTGGCATTTGGAGGCAGTTCCAAACCTTTTTGGGTCAGCGTCAATTTCTCGCAGATGTCATTGTTGTGCTTGGTGGAAACGTGGCGTTTTAAATGTTTCCTTGCGAAGTGTATTGACAAACATTCTTTATCCAACGTGTGTGTTTCTGTCCAGTCTGGTGGTGTTGGTGGCGCTCAACATGCTGCTGTTCTACAAGCTGTACGCTCTGGAGAGGGCTGCCCACACACTGGAGACGTGGCACTCGTATTCGCTGACAGACAGGTGAATATCAATACAATATAAAGTCACCACTGTGAAGGTGAGCTCAGTACTCGATTAACAATTACAGATACTAAAATAAATGTCATGTAGCCGAGAGCTTAACAGCTGTTGACTCAACGCCGCGTCGTTTCAAATTTTTGTTTTTGCTTGATTATGCATTGGTTATCTTCGCTTTATAATGAAGACAGTAATTAACTGTTACATGAGGTTCTTGGGGTTATCAAGTGTTCTTGCACCTCTACGCAAGCTAGTTCGCTGCACAACTTTCGTAAGCACTAAACTCCCGACGTCGAAACCGTTGTGAACTGAAGAGCCTCTTTCATTTGTTTTTATTTGATACGGTTATTATAATTAGCAATTACTGCCCAAAATGGCGGAAAGCTCAATCTGCATCTAAAACGTAAGGCATGCAAAAAGTGGACTTTCCTAAAATGGTTTCTTTTTCCTTTGTCAGTCCTCTTCCTCAGACAGCAGGAGAGTGGGCTCAGGTCTTACAGCTGCAGAGGCAGTTCCACCAGGCGCAGCTCAGCAAGTGGCAGCAGATTTTACAGTCGTCTGTGGCTCTTCTTGACCAGGTGTGTGTCACAGTCTCGTCTACAAATCATTTCGATGAATTCCCGAGTTAGTCGTAGTTCATCACCGTACGAGCCCTGAGAATTGCTGCAAAATGGCCAACTGTTCAATTCCTCACCTTGGTCCTCGAGGCTTTTTAGACATTACACCACATGGCAAAAATTTGCAAAAAAAAAAAACGCACCTTTCATTCAAATTAGTTGTAGCGCTTTTTTTTGCGGAGCATATACGCCCATTCTGAGCGTGTTTACTTGATCAGACGCGGTGATAGGAGTTATGCGACTCTCTCTTAGCTGCTCCAGTAAAGAAGCAATCAGCAGCATTTTGAACCAATTCGACACGTTTGGAGTCAGCCAGCCCACCCTCCCAGTCAAGTGCATTCCAGCATCGGGCCTCAACTTGTCACTACTAATGTTTGGATCACTTGAACCAAAATGACGTCCTCACATGATCAGTGGCACCCGAGAAAAACTTGCTTTCTTTTTTCCGCTCTTTCGCCAGATGAAGCAGTCACTCGAAAAACTCCACCAAGGCATCGCCGTCCCCGGGGTCTACCAGGACCAACCGGCTGAAACGGATGCATGAGCCCTACCTGTACGGTACTGTCCACCCCCGCATCCGTACCCCACCCAACAACATGGATGGTCCACCGGTTCCATTAAAAAAAAAAAAAAAAAAAAAAACATAACAGGGAACTACATTACTCACAAGCCTCCTCTCACCTGTTGGACTTGAAAACCACATCACCCCATGGTGACTCAGCAATAAAACTCGGATGGAGGCCCACAGGTGGGCCCTCCAAAAAGCCGCTTCACGGAATTTTCTTCCCACGCCACTTTTTTGTTTTTCCAAGTTGGCGTAAATCTTGGGATTTGATGTTTAAAAAAAAAAAAACAAAAGGGACATGAAGACGAGCGTGCAACTTGGGACCGTTACAGTATTTATTGCCCAAGTCCCGCCCTCCACGCCCTCCGATTGGCTGTCAGCAGGTGGCCAATAATGACTGTAGTGATTGTTCTTGAATGTTTCATAGTAGGATATATTGTCAATAATAATAATTATGATGGTGCGTGTGTGCGTGTGTGTGTGTCCACGAGGAGTCCATGTTACATTTCTGATATTTTCGTAGTGTTGGCTGTTTTTTTTTTTTTTTTTTTTTTGGCCAATGTTTCTCCGACACCTCATTCGCTTGCCAATCATCACGGACCAACCGCAATTCCTTGACGGGACAAAAGGGAATCTCATTTGTAATACATTTCTCTCACCTCTCACTTTTTTTTTTCTTTTTATCGTTACATTTCTACCCCTTCATGTCCCCAACTCCTTTTATTGACCAATCACCACCCACCCTCTGACTCCACCACTCCATCTGCCCCGCCCGCCTTCCCTCCCGTTTGATTTGTTACGGCCCTGCTGTGCACGGCCGGCTGCGCACCACGACAAAAGGGGTGTATTTATTTAGGGAGGGGTGCAAAGACGAGAATGTACTGTGAAGATGATGTGATTGTGCACACGGAGAGAAATTGAAAAGAAGAAAAAAAATGCAACAAGTCCTGGCTCGTCTTTGTGTGTGTGTGCGTGCGTGCGTGCGCGCGCCTGTGCCCTTACTCCATATATGAAAAATTGAAATCTCACGAGCTTCAACCAAGTGTCTCATGAAAAAAAAGTTACAAATAGATTTGATGAAATATATTATGGTATAACATAAAATAAAATATCAATTCACAGAATATATATTATACAGTACCGGTATATAATATATTATAAAGCTTTTTAAAGTAGTAATATATTGAAATTCATTTGAGTCATTCTTTTTCAACATTTTATGCACAAGTATTTATCATGGCTGGTTGAAATTTATAAAAATAGGTCTACAGTCATTAAACAAATGATAAAACAAAATATAAAGAACATTTTCACTTTTATTGGTCAACAATTAAATGCGTCGGCCACATCACTTAAAAGTATGCATCCGATAAAGCGATAAAGCCAATATATTTCTAAACATTCTCTTTTATTATGTTTTCACTCAATACAGTGCAACTTTTTAAAAAAATATACGCAGTGTATATTGACATACTATTGAAAAGCACATCCGCAATTAGATGAATCCCAAGGCTGTCAAACCACGAGTATACGGAGATCCACCGTCGTCGGAAATGAACGCACATCAGTTTTGCCAGTTTTGCTTTTCATTAGTGATTGATCTCAAGCCTTAGAACACAACAAAGATACAGTATTTCACATGACGGTCATGTTTTATTTTTTTGGCCCGTTTTATCCGTTTGGCAGCTCATGTGAGTGGTTTGCTGTCCTCTAACGGCTGTGATTATAATACAAATTTGGGAGACCGAGAACAAGGCTCTCGGAACACTTTTGAAGTGTGTGTGTGTGTGTGTGTGTGTGTGTGTGTGTGTGTGTGTGTGTGTGTGCGCGATTGACAGCCCTTATTTACGAGCCCTCAGAAATTCATTTCCCATTTTAAAGCTGTCTCCAAGAAATGTATAAACTGAAATAAACAAAAAAATAATCTCAGGAAATATATGGAAATACTGTACTACTTTGGTTTATTGATTTTCAGAGAGCAGTCACAAGTGAACATTTTAATGGAATTTAGATTAGAATCGGGAAATTAGTAAAAAAATAAAGAAATACCGGTAAATGGTGCGAATTGGTGTCTCAAAAATATATGAAAATATTTTGGTTTAGAGCTTTTCACACAGTGAGTAATCAAAATATTGTCAAAAGAATTTTACTGTCACTCAATTAAATTCTGTTAAAGTAAAAAAAATATTAAAATTGAAAATTTGAATCTGAAATTTAATTTGTTTGATATATCTAATATTTTTCAAAATGTTTCTTGGCACACTTTTTTTTTTTTTGGTTTTTGTTTGTTTTGGGGGGGTTTTCTTGCTGCTGCTGTTATGCTGAATGTATTAATTTTACTTGTTTTGTTTTTCTGTAACTGTCATTTCTTTTATTTGATAGTCAAATACTATTTTAATTTTTTTGCTTGCACCACATTACAAAAAAGAAGGAACAGTGTTTTTTGCTTTCGGCAGGATGCAGTCGAACGGGAATCAAGCACACACACCAACACACACAGACCATCCTTTTTTTTTTTTTTTTTTTTTGGGGGGCGCACCTTTGCATAAAGTGTCTGAATGAGAGCGTCACACTCCCGTCTTGGCGTGTTGTTGCGGTGGAGACGGCGATGCTGAAGGTGGATGTGAGAATCCGTCTCTGCGCCAGCACTTTGCCACACTGAGGTCACACAAAACACCAAACAATAATCAGTGAATGCACATTTGTACTTTCCACCAAACAGTTTTTGCTTGTGTGTGCGTGCGTTATGGCGATAAAAATGGTCAACTAGGAGAGATTTTAGGCGGTATTGTGGATCGGAGCCTACCGTGTGTGTTACTCTGCCACCTGCACAGCTGCGCAGTTGTCTTTATTTTCAGACGCTACGGCTAAGTACTCGGCCCTGAGCCGGCCACGATGACGACGAGGAGGAGCAGGAGGAAGGAGAGAGAAAGAGTCAAACAAGTTGAGAGAATCAAAACACTTCCGAATATGTGTTTTGATTCAGGAGGACAACATTGAAGGGAGAAGTGAAGCCGTGATCTCATGAAGTCTTCCAACTTCATTCGTTCATAAAAGTCATCCATTCATATATGTCAAACTTAATGGTGCGCTTCTCTGGATTTTGAAGGACTCGAAAACTAGACTGTTGGGGAAAGAATGCAACGACCCGAATGATTGAGAAGATTCACAGGTACACAGGATTCTTACCTCCGTCTGTTGACTATGCACCCGCCCATTCTAATCTCATTCATCCACTTTTTGGAAACTCGAGGCTACTTCCTGCATACTGATGAATGCAAAGGGCTACCAGTTTGATACACACTTCTGAAATGACATATTTCCTCAAATGACCTTTGATAATATTTCTCCTCCCACAACAATTCGTGCACATGTACACCCCACACGAGCCGAGAAGATATCAGTGGTACCTCTACTTACAAAATTACGGTAATTGGTTCTGAAAAAAACTCACGCGCTCTCCCTCAAGGCCTCCTCGCCGGCCGCCGAGATCTTCCTGTAACAGTAGATCATCTCCACCAGGAGCCACAGCTGCAAGCCGACGATGGCAACGTACATCATCACCTCGGACAGGATGGACGCCATCCCCCTCGTCACTGACACCAGGAGGAAAAACGGCACGAGTGAGTTCCGACTTCTACGGATGTCATCGCCCCCCGTAGAGTCCACGTCAAAAGCCAAAGGGCGCATACTTTTGGGCACCACGCGTACATTGATGATCTTGCTGGTGTTGATGCGGAAGGCGTAGTCGTCGTAGATGAGCACGCGGCTGAAGACGCACTTGTAGCTGCCCGTGTCGTTAAAGGTGATGTTGGCGATGTAGATGGAGCCGTCCTGGAGGTCCAGCGTCCGCCTGCTGCCTCGCCACTGCACGCGCCCCTCGAAGCGCTCGTCCGCGATCGTGCCGCGCTGATCCTCGTAGCTGTACAGCTACGAGGAGTTGCAAACCGTACAGTTTGTTCAGAATCATGCGAGTAGAATTAGGAGCGTTTCAGGACATTTTTTTTTTTTTTGTAACTTATTGGAAAACATGAACACTATGTGTAATTAGTAAATTCAATTTAATCAAAGGAATGAGAAAAGAGCATCGTTTCAAACCTGGATTTAAAAGCATTTACACTTTATTGGTATGTTTTGAATTTTATTTTTTTTCCACTCATATTATTCGCTCTGATAATCAAGGATAGTGTCAAATTGGGGGACTGTATTATACACAAATACAGAGGGGCACATTTTTTTT